TTAGATAGCCTACATGAATTTAAGACTTTTTAAGACTTTTCAAGGATCCGCGGGTACCCTGGCAGCTTAAGTTTACAGTTTTCAGTTGAAATCGTTGTCGTATAAACAGGACCTTAACATGTTTTTGAATGATATCAGGCCTGTGATCACATGTGAGAGGTAGAGAGTGATGTCATCAAAATCAGGACTTGACCCGGGATGTTTTCATGTGATCTGTCTTTTAAGGCACGATCTAAAAGGCAAAACAAAACCGTTTTTGTGTCTTATCATCAACTCTGCAGACAGCTGAAACACAAATGTGTTTCCTTGTTTATTGAAGTCTTTTTTTCCATCTTAAACATATTTACATTCACAGACCTGACTGGTTTGTGTCCTGGATGGGTTAAGATCAGGGGACACTTGAAACAAACCAGGTCACAGAAACTGCTGAAATTTCAGAAAATTAGCAACATCTTTAAATGTTTTATCAAAGTACTCACCAACAACAAGCTTAATGTGGAATGTTAGAGGTGGCTGAAGATTTGGAAAATCACAGGTGTAGTTTCCACTGTCAGCCACCATCGCATTTCTGATGATGATGGAGGCGTTGCCGTGTTTCAGTTCTTCTGGAAAATGAGAGACTCGACCTTTGAACTCCTCACTCTGACCTGCTCACCCGCTGTCGTAAGTGATGCCTGCATCATAATAGAACACCTCCTTCTGACTACCATCTTTCTGAGCAGGTTTCTTCCAGTCAAACCGATATGACTCAATGTTCTCCTTGGTGCTGAGGGAACAGGGTAACACAGCATCACTGTCTTGTTCCACTGTGACGACAGCTTGTCCTGGAAGATAAGTATCAATCAGTATGTTGCAGAGTCATCAGATAGAGGGGAAAACACAATGTGTGTCAGCAGAATTATTTTACAACACCAATGTACAGGCACATTAGTTAGTTTAGTGATGTAATTTACACCATAAATCATGTCACAACCAGTTATATATAATCTAATAATTTATAACACACAGCTATTGGTTTTTGCATAATTTGAACCTGATTGATCTGGTTGAAAACCACTAAAAGGCACTGGTGATGTCACTGCTGCTGCTTTAACTGCTGTCTATCCCGAGCTGTATCAAACTGTCACAACAAAGACAGAAACATTTGTGGGAGCAAATCGGACAAACGCTGAATGTTGCAGGTGAGTGTTGTGCTTTTATCACCATACGTGTTGTGAGCTTATTAACTGTGTAGTAAAGTCTGTGTTAAAGTAGCTTTACGTTAGCTACCTAGCTAACGTTAATGTCAAGATATTACTGACAAAACCCAAATAAAGCATGTCGGGATGAAGCGTTCCCCAGTGCCCTGCCACCACTTCTCTGCCAAAGACAAACCTTTAGTTACACTTAGGTCTTAATTACGTCACAGATAAACATATGGTATCATATCATCATCATATCATCAGTGTCTGAGAACACATGGATGCTTCACACCTCCCCTCAGGTCGAGGAGAATTAATGATTGTACAGCTTTATACTGACAGAGAGCTACAAAACTGGCCATTATTAATTAATGGAGAAGGCTGGGATTAAATAAGTTTGTACTTCCTCCAATTCCTTTTTGGACATGTAAATTAAATGATTTTATTTGGTTTATTTGCTACTTACATGCTCAGAATAAACTGCTACTAACTAACTAACACTTCTCGACACCACATTCACAACCTAACAAAGAAGCTCAACAACAAATTGTACACTGAACAAAAATATAAACGCAACACTTTTGTTTTTGCTCCCATTTTTCATGAGCTGAACTCAAAGATCTAAAACATTTTCTATACACACAAAAGACCATTTCTCACAAATATTGTTCACAAATCTGTCTAAATCTGTGTTAGTGAGCACTTCTCCTTTGCCGAGATAATCCATCCCACCTCACAGGTGTGGCATATCAAGATGCTGATTAGACAGCATGAATATTGCACAGGTGTGCCTTAGGCTGGCCACAATAAAAGGCCACTCTGAAATGTGCAGTTTTGCTTTATTGGGGGGGTCTGGGGGGGTCAGAAAACCAGTCAGTATCTGGTGTGACCACCATTTGCCTCACGCAGTGCAACACATCTCCTTCGCATAGAGTTGATCAGGTTGTTGATTGTGGCCTGTGGAATGTTGGTCCACTCCTCTTCAATGGCTGTGCGAAGTTGCTGGATATTGGCAGGAACTGGAACACGCTGTCGTATACGCCGATCCAGAGCATCCCAAACATGCTCAATGGGTGACATGTCCGGTGAGTATGCTGGCCATGCAAGAACTGGGATGTTTTCAGCTTCCAGGAATTGTGTACAGATCCTTGCAACATGGGGCCGTGCATTATCATGCTGCAACATGAGGTGATGGTCGTGGATGAATGGCACAACAATGGGCCTCAGGATCTCGTCACGGTATCTCTGTGCATTCAAAATGCCATCAATAAAATGCACCTGTGTTCGTTGTCCATAACATACGCCTGCCCATACCATAACCCCACCGCCACCATGGGCCACTCGATCCACAACGTTGACATCAGCAAACCGCTCACCCACACGACGCCACACACGCTGTCTGCCATCTGCCCTGAACAGTGAAAACCGGGATTCATCCGTGAAGAGAACACCTCTCCAACGTGCCAGACGCCATCGAATGTGAGCATTTGCCCACTCAAGTCGGTTACGACGACGAACTGCAGTCAGGTCGAGACCCCGATGAGGACGACGAGCATGCAGATGAGCTTCCCTGAGACGGTTTCTGACAGTTTGTGCAGAAATTCTTTGGTTATGCAAACCGATTGTTGCAGCAGCTGTCCGGGTGGCTGGTCTCAGACGATCTTGGAGGTGAACATGCTGGATGTGGAGGTCCTGGGCTGGTGTGGTTACACGTGGTCTGCGGTTGTGAGGCCGGTTGGATGTACTGCCAAATTGTCTGAAACGCCTTTGGAGACGGCTTATGGTAGAGAAATGAACATTCAATTCACGGGCAACAGCTCTGGTGGACATTCCTGCAGTCAGCATGCCAATTGCACGCTCCCTCAAAACTTGCGACATCTGTGGCATTGTGCTGTGTGATAAAACTGAACATTTCAGAGTGGCCTTTTATTGTGGCCAGCCTAAGGCACACCTGTGCAATAATCATGCTGTCTAATCAGCATCTTGATATGCCACACCTGTGAGGTGGGATGGATTATCTCGGCAAAGGAGAAGTGCTCACTAACACAGATTTAGACAGATTTGTGAACAATATTTGAGGGAAATGGTCTTTTGTGTGTATAGAAAATGTTTTAGATCTTTGAGTTCAGCTCATGAAAAATGGGAGCAAAAACAAAAGTGTTGCATTTATATTTTTGTTCAGTGTATGTCTATAACAAGATTAGACCATATCTCACCCCTGCTGTTGCAGACACATATCTACATGCAGTCATTCTCTGGATAATATCCTACTGTCTCCCCACATGGTCCCTCACCATCAAGGAATCCACTGACACCATAGCAAAACTATACAGAGCCTACAAGATCCATGGTAACCTCCCTGTTTGGACTCATCACTGTACTGCATACACTCAAACTCCAACGCCTTGACTTTTCAAAACGACACAAGTAATCCTGCCATTAAATGATATTTTCAGGTCCTTAACACCAACTCAAATCCTACACTTCCTGCTCTACTTCCAAGTCACAACACAAGACAGCAACACGTCACTAGATCAGTTTCACATGCACTTTTTCCTGTACCACCTTACAAAAACAGTTATGGTCAGAGATCATTTAGTCACAGTTACACTGAGATCTGGAGCGAGATCCCACACTACATTAGAGCAATAACCTCCATCACACGTTTTAAACACACGTAAACACTGTCCGATTGAAGGACATACCTGCAACCACTGATTTAAATCCCATATCCCATTTTACTCCACTTCAGTCTGCTACTCTGCAATGTCTATGCAGCTGCCTACGTGTTGTTGTTTTGCCTCTGCTGATTGTTTCTGTTTTTATTCTGTATTGTAATGTGTCTTTGCTGCAGGAAGGGAACCTGCTGAAAACCAGTTTAACTGAGTCAGGCCGGTTTTAACTGGAACACACAGTTACAGTGATAGCATTTCCTCATTCTTAGCAGTGGTAATAACGAGTGCTGCGGAAGTGCTTTCACGTTTAAAAAAGCCACATTCATCATCTGTACTCAGACCACAAACACAGAAATAAACATGATAAAACAAAGCTGCTGTACTTCAATAAAACTAAATAATAAATGTGGTCATTGTTATAAAGGCTTGAACTCTACTGGGACTGTGAGAATAAGAAGCACCAAATCACACAGTTTTAGTATTTAGTGTAATTTTTATCATCATGCAGTATTTTCACATATTTTTATATTTCAGTTTTATTATTATGTTGTTCTGGTCTTTGTCCTGTTCTGGGCACTGATTTGGTTTGTAGTATTGGTCTTGTCTTAGTCCTGTCTTGGTTTTGTAGTGTCCTTATTTTACTTACTTTTGTGTTGTGCCATTATTGGATTGACCAAATATTATTGTGCTCTCTATCTGCTTTATTTGGAAAATTTCAATTAAAAGATTTTAGAGAAATCTCAAAATGTTTTGCTTCGGTTTCCGGGTTAAACGACATGTTTCCTTAAGTCGGTTAACAACAAGCTTGGGGTGTGTCTTCTGTTTGGTGGGTGTCAAAGGTGTGAACAGCCCCATCATAGCAAAGAGCAGCGCGCCTATGTAACACTACAGGGTGTTTGACCCGCCAGTTTCCGTTTAAATAAACGTTTTGCAACACCAGGCTCGTTTTGAGATGAACTGCGCCTTTCCTGCAAAGTGGACGAGATGAGGCAGCTGCAGCAGGAGGAGGTGACAACAAGCTGTGGTGATCAGACAGTGGCCCAATCCCAAACCGGCCCCTATTCACTCCCCCTCCGTTTGCGCGGTCACGCGGAGCTCCAACATATTAAGGGCCGTCCCAAACCAATAATCGCTGAGTGCGAGTGGACTGCTCAGCCCTTAGATAGCAAGTGTGCATCAGTGCAGGCTTCTGATGAGCCCAGCAGGAAGCGCAACATCACAATGGAGGAAACAACGTACAAATGTAAGAGTTCCGTCTTTCTACTTTGTAAAATATTTTATATTAAACACACATATTTGTTTTCCTCACACTGACTTTACAGCCTCAAACAAACTCACAGAATGTTTGGTGTCAAAAGATGAAAACCTCCACGTCGTCCACATTCTGAAATTAACTTTTTAAAACTGTCTAAAAAATTCCTCATCCAATTCTCATGATTTTTTAAAAATATATAATTCTGTGTTCACAGGGACAGAAGAAAAAACAAAGCAGATAAACGATCTACGGATTAAAAATGAGTCTCTTCACTAAAAAGAGGAATGGGATGGAGGTAAAATTGCCCAGATGAATTAATCTGTAGGCTAAATGTGTAAACTGTGTCTAGAAAATATGAACAAGTTACTTACTTTGATTACACTGCACTGTAACTCTTATCTGACTTATCTAAGTTTATTTTTAATGTATCTCATTTTAATTAATATTTAACTGTTTGTTTTTTTTTTTTTTGCTCTATTTTGCTTTCACAAAGCGTCTGTCGGTATCCATGGTTACATCTGCTTCCTTCTTCCTTCTTTGGCTTCTCTTTCATACACTTCCCCTTAATCTAGAGTGCCCTCCACAGCTGCGAGTGTAACTTGATTTGGAGTGACACTCGGTAGTGAAGTGGTAGTGGGTAGGTCACCTAGTGGGATTGGGCCAGTCTCCTGACAGTTTCCAGCGGGCTTCAGTCAGTCTGTACAGGAAGTCACTGAAACACTCACATCCTGTCCGATATGATGGTGATTTACTAAAAGTGTTATCAGACTCATGTATCAGTTTGTTCTCAGCCTCCAGTTGTTTTAATTATGACAGGGTAGCTTATTAAAATGCTCTACAGGCGAGAAACAGACAACAGCTTTCATTCAGTCAGGACTTCACATCTGTACACATGTGATTTTAAGAATCCTCACACCTCACTGACCACAAGTCTCTGTGCTGCTAAATACTTCAATAATTAAAACAGTCCAGTGTTAATATACAGTAGACTCTGTATAGTTTATGAGTGTCATGAGACGTCACCATCAGTAACATGTTTCCTGTTCACAGAATAACCCTTCAAATCAGACAGAATCTAAATCTATGAGGTTCAACAAAATGAAAAGTTTATCTAAAATGTCATCTTGTTGAGTCGACATCTAAACCAAAATACCAGAATGTTCTATTAGATATAGAACCTTATTTGTCCCATGTTACCTGGTGTCTCAGATGACCTGGTTTCACCCTGCTCTTTATCTTAACTGCCTTTTCATCTGTGAACACTTTGTCCCCTCAAAAGTCGTACTGTACAAACTGCGTCCCCTGTATGTCACTTGAGCTGTGCGTGCACATAATATGTCCTAATGTTCCCGCTGAACTGCATTTTATCGACAGAAACAAGACTTTCCTGTCTAAACGACCTTCACCGTGAATATGAACACGCATCACAACAGTTTTATAGGACAAACATAAATAGATACTGGGTAAATCATCCAACCACTGCAGCCACAATTAGCTCATCAACTAGTAAATGAAACACATTCAGAAATGTTCAGAGCAATAGATTAAAAAACAACAACATATGAAACACTGTAGTGTGACAATATCATACATGTACACATGAGCTTCTATACAGTATTTAAGGTTTCAGATTTTACACAGTAAAGAGCAATGTTAGTTTTGGACAGCAGATGGCGCCACATTATTGAGAACAGAGGCTGAGCCAAACCTCTCACTGCTACATAACGCAGTGGTCAGAGGGGAAATGCTGTTTTGGAAACTTGTGATCGATTCTGTAATGTTTTAATTATCCCTGATAGATAAATAAAAACCAGTATGGGCAGCAGTGTGGTGTGGAACTTTCTAAACCAGGGTCCAGGCACACCCATGGGTCCTTGAAAGGCGTCCAAGAGGATCCCTGGACAATAACGACCAAATGTCTCTGCTGTCTCACTGCTGTTGAGATAATGAGTGATTATCACCTGCAGTTTATACAAGAACTTTAGCAGCAGTTTAACTACTTTGGCACATAAGTGCTTCAACCTAGATCTTAAGGGACAGTTCAAGTCTGTTGAACTGGGGTTGCATGAGGAACTTATCCACAGTCAGCCTCCAGTTTGGAGAAGCAGACAGGAGGACCGCTATGGAAGTTAAGCTAATGTAGTAAGTATGCTAATGTCAGCGACAAAACATATTTCAGCCACCTTAAAAAAGGCAAAGTGTAGGCTGTATTTAGAATATTTATACTGCTTTACTTTGCTGTCAGACAGAGATTTCCAACTGGAAACTGAAGCTGTTAAATCGCTCTCTTCAAAGCCAGACTCCACTGAGACAAACAGTGATTTAACATCGCTGAACACAGAAACTGCTGGTAGAGATATGATCTGTTTGGAGGCCGATAACAAGGACAACAAACACGCAAATTTAGATGTAACGTAAAGTAATTTGTGCTTTTTTAATCTGGTGGATTTTTCAGTGATTTACATTGAGTTGCTGTGTCCGCCCCACTGACACCAAGACAACTGATTCCAAAGTCTGGCTCCAATGCAAAATTCGAACCCTGGCACCATCGTCATGTCCTTTAATGCCAAACAGAGTGGAGAGAAACACTGATTTTTAATGTGAAACTGCATTATTCAGTGTTTTTACCTATTGGAATCACCTGGTCCATTTGTTTCAAAGAGGAAGAGACCTCTGCAGATAATCTGGCTCCCGGTAAAAACCTCCTGAACAATGAACACTGAAGGAACTGTAATCTGGCAAAGTTTCAGCTGGTTGCATTTTGAAATCCTCTGCGCTAGATGCCACTAAATCCCCAAAAATCTTACACACTTAAATTATATGTTCATATTTTTAATTGTTCTTGTTCACCTCATTTAGGCTCGTGATTTATGTGAAGTGACTGCTGTAACACTGGCATTTTATTTTGGGATTAATACTGTACTCTCTCTATCTACCAATAACTGTCCAAGGCTGAATGCAACCATGAATAATTGCATATGACTGATCGCAAATCTTGACAGATGTTGAAAAAGTAAAAACGTATTTGTCTCCTCAAAGCACATGACTAATCTGGACAGTAGGTAAACAATGTGAGGCAGTGAAACCACCTCCAGGGTGTTGATCCTGTGATAATGACAGGTGAGGACGTCGCTGCTCCTAACCCAGACTTACATCAATCATGAGAAAGTGGAGATGGATGTTTGTGACTATATATATCTGGAGATAAGGTGGAACAAAAAGTGTAAAGGTAAAGTGCATCCCCACAATCAAAATTAAAACCTTCTGCTGACCCCCAAATAAATTCCAAGTGATATAATACCATATAATAAATGTTAATGTTCTGGGTGTTGTTGTAGGTGTGTTTACATTATTTAAAGAAGGTCAATATTTGTATTTATATTTGGTTGTTATACAAGCAAAATATTTGTCTCTCATGAGAGTCAAACTCTTTGCTAATATTTGTGAATATCATTTTAAATGATATATAGTCAAAATGCCTCAGTGGTCCTTAAATATGAACGGTTAGTTTTGGCTTTGCTGGCGAGTGAAGCAGCCAACAGGCAGATTGAATTAAAGGCTAATGTGGCCGTCCACTGAATGTTCTGTTCATGTGTGATGGTATGAGTGTGTTACATAACATCATGTGGTGCCGCTGGTCAGTTGTGGACACTTGCTGCATTGTCAGCAGCTCCGTCTCCCAGAGTCTCTCCTCGTATCTGCAGGGAGAGCTGCTGCAGAGCCAAAGACAACAAACCAGAGATGTATATGTTACTCCATTTATTGAGACAGAACTGCTAACCCTTGGCCTCTCTCCTAACTCCTGCTCCACTCTTCCTGCCACGCTTTAAGGTTTCACTAAATCTCAGGGATACTGACGTGTTGGTGGATTTTACCGATCAAATCCTGAGAGAACAGACTCTAAAATCACCCATTTGTCCTGAGTGTGAACTGTAATTTATGCTCTGCTGAGCTCCTGGCATTCGTGCAAAGGTGAGAAAATGATTTGTGGCAGTTTCAGTAACTAAGCCAGATACATGGCTAACTAAAGCCTGACATTTTTATGTAAGAGATTTAAACACGATTCTAATATAATAACTTTAATTTACTGCAAGAGACTCAGATTACTTGCTCCTATATAAAAAAAAGAACATAGCGTGTGAAGATAGACAGTGTGCTGTGCAGCTAAAAACCTCTAGTAGCACATTACGTACCTGGAATCTACAAAAACACCAACATCTGCCATAGTTGATAACATTAATGATATTAAATGTTGTCAGGCTGTCAAGCTACAGGCCCAGACAACAACACAGATGATAAATATAATCAGTTGTCTGATGGAGCTGGGATAAATCACCTTGGTAACTTATGCTGAACAGCTAACCTGCTCCGGAGCTGGTGAACTTTAAAGTATCGGAGTCTCAGGTAGAAAAAAGGAGCCTATATATTGTTAAAGGTCAGTAGAATCATTTCATTGTTCAGGGCTCTATTTCCACTGGTTTTAAAACAGAGCTAGTAACAAACAGAAATAGTTTACAACACTAAACACATGATTTTAGCTGCATTTTAACTTGGGCAAGTTTATTTTAGTCCACAGTGATAGTTCTGCGATCTTACACTGATTCATCACTGCAGCTCAAAATAACATGAGACACTGGTGTGATGAGAACTAGGTGACAAAAAAGATATTTTATTAGAAAAATAATCCACACATAATGTCACACATAGCCTAGTGATCCCTACACATAATTTAAGACTCCGCCCATGGTGCATTTTTAATATTTCTACATTTTTTGTTATAAGATTACAGATTATCATTTACATCCTACAACACTGACATTTTACTGTCGTGCAGTAACTTTGAAAAAATCCTATTTTGATGCAAAGAAGCTGACTGATAAGCGGCTTTATGATCCAATGTTTTGACTTGATAAACAAGATGTAAGGGCACGTTAATCAGAGTCTGCATGTTAACAGGATTGTTAGTGGAATATTAATTTTCATTAGACATGTAAAAGCTAAGAAAAGAAAAATATGGAAGGAAGAATATTTGTTATTCTGTAAGATATGCAGTTATCTTCAATACAAAATATTCAAAAAAGACATGTTAACAGCTTAGTAGGAAGAAATGTCTTTCTGAATTAAGGGTAAAAAACTGATTATTTTGTGCATGTAAACTTAGTCACTGGTGCGACCTGTGAGAGTGAACCAAAACAATGAGCTGAAAGCAGCTAAAGTGCATCTTGAGCCGAAGGGAACTGCAGAGTCGGGTGATGATTCTCAGTAGTTTCATCACTTTGAGTGGTCCCCTTCACATATAGCTGATCATTTGATCTGATGTCTATTAGAAAAGATCAATGCAGCTTTAAAGGACTCCAGCTTAAAATGAGGAGGCCCAGTTTGACCTCAAGTTTTTGGTCTTTCTACTTCACTGACTTTTTGGAAGTCATTACCTTCATCCCTCTCTTTCTGTTTCTACTATCCTACCTCAACATATTTCACACAAACAACTAAGGGTGTTTCATCCTGCTCTCCATCATTTTCAATCTCTCACCAGATGAATGTGACCTTTGCGCTCACCTGGCAGCAGAGCTGAAGAGGTTCACTGGAAAACATTCACTGATTGTCAGGAGGTCTCTGCAGTGACAGCTGACAATGGATACTGAAGAAAAGGAAAGAAAGAGAGAAACTATTAATGTTCAATGCAGTCAAATCCAACAGCCTTGCCAATCCTTCCTTTATTGAGGTCATGTTCACAAACTGTTTGAGAGGTGCTAATTTAATTTTGTAACTTCAGAGGCTGTACATTGTGCTGCTGTTGACCTGAGATGTGTTTCTAATATTTACTCTGTAGTTTCAGGCAAAACAATAAATACACTTTCAGATTTCTGTTATCCTGTCAGCTCCAGAATTAAACTGTTGCAGAAGTGAATTCAGGCAGCGGAGAGAGACAGACAGTCAAGGCAGGAAGGGGCAGTTTACTGATTTATTGTCAGAAGTGAAGATACAAAGGTTACTGGCAGGAAGAGGTCCAGACAGAAGTGACTGACAATCCATGGAGAAGGGTAAAACATGCGGGCGGGTGCAGATCACAGGTAAAGATTCCAGATTACAGGTTGCAGCATACAGAGGCAGAAAAATTGAGACATGAAGCACATAGCAGCAATCTAGCAACTGCCTGGGGAAAAGGGAGCTGGTATATATGTACTGATAGGGCTGATGAGGGGAAAGTGGAAACAGGTGAGCAGGTAGATGAGAGTCAGGTGACAGGGACTGGTGAGGGCATCTGGTGGATGGATGGGGAAGAGTGACCTCCAGCATGCACTGGGGGTTTGCAGCCGAGTGTAAAGCAGTCGGGATAAGAGTCAGCAGTGATGCGGATGCTGTGTTAGACTGTCATGGTGAAGAGGGAGCTGAGACAGAAGGCAAAGTTTTTGCTGGTCCACCTACGTCCCAACCCTCACCTATGGTCATGAGCTCTGGGTAGTGACCGAATGAATGAGATCCCAGATACAAGCAGCTGAAATGAGTTTCCTCTGTGGGGTGGCTGGGCTCAGCCTTAGAGATAGGGAGAGGAGCTCGGACATCCAGAGGGAGCTCAGAGTAGAGCCGCTGCTTCTTTCCCATCCAAAGAAGCCAGTTGAGGTGGTTTTGGCATGTGATGCTTCCTGGGTGCCTCCTGTTAGAGGTTTTTCAGGCACATCCAACTGGTAGGAGGCCCTGGGGCAGACCCAGAACATGCAGGAGGGATTATATATCTCATCTGGCCTGGGAATATCTTGGGATCCCTACTGGAGGAGCTGGAAAACATTGGGACGTCTGGAGCACTGCCCCTGCAACCCGGCCCTGGTATGTGGATGAAAGTGGATCGATGGAACCTTTAAAGGTCCAGTGTGCAGGATGTAGGGGCATCTATTGACAAAACCTGTATATAATATTCATAACTATGTTTTCATTAGTTTGTAATCACCTGAAAAAAGGAACGATGGTGTTTTTGTTACCTTAGAATGAGCTGTTCATATAAACATACAGAGCAGGTCCTCTTCCAGTGAGTCTGCTATGTTTCTACAGTAGCCCAGAATGGACAAACCAAACACTGGCTCTAGATAGGGACATTTGGGTTTTCACAGCAACAACCGTGGTTCTCCCACTACATGCTTGGCACATGGGATATGTTTCAGCTCTGCAACCTCACTGCTAAACACTGAGTGCTACACACTGAACCTTTAAGTTATTAAAGGCAGTGCAGTGCAGATAAACATCTGTCTGTCAGAGAAAAGAACTTCACATCTGTCACTGTGCTCTCATTAGTTGAAATGCCACCTCTCTCTGCAGCCCTCGAGCGTTTGGTTTTCATTTCCTTTATGATCCCAGAGTCAGCACCGATTAAGGTGTCACTCCTGACGCCCTTATTATGCTTTGGATTACGGACCGAGAACTTTATACAGTAGTTTGATACAGAGTTGAACTGAGAAACATGCATATATTGCAAATATTCTTACACAGAGCCAGTGTTAACAGGGAGGGAAAACACTGCAACGGTTTTCAGACTAAACTCGGACATTAACTCTCTGTTGATCCTGAGACGGAAAAATTACTAAAAATATTTCATGACTGAATAAGAATCTCATACAAATGTTTAGCGTTTTTCATTGGGGATCAATAAAGTATTTCTGATTCTGATGTTCTCAACAGGTTTCGCAAGTTCAACCAAAGAAGCAGTGACAGTAAGAAATCAGCTGTAGTTGGAAATGCATATGGAACACATCAGATCTGTCAAGTTGGATTGTATTTGTTTGTACAAGTGTTAGGAGTTAGGATAGGAGCTGCATTTATGATCTCTTATTATAATGACTTTCAAATCTTTTATTTGCAAATTGATAAACACACGTTTGAGACTCATTTCTCTTCCTCAGCAGATATTTAACATCAGTCTTTATGTCAGACAAAAGGTAAACAGGAATGAAAATGTAACACTAGAAGCCAATATTTCTATGTGGTTTTCTGTCTTGGTCAGAAACATTTCAACAGAACATCTGGAAGGTGAACCTGTAAACTTTGAGTTATCCAGGATCATGTATGCTACCTCTCCTGCTCACACTCATATCCTAAACTAACCTGCTCATGCGGTCTTTGAACATGTTTTTAATTGAGGCATTCGCTGTTGGAGAGTTTGCTGTTGCGTGAGCAGAAACATTTCCTCAACCCTTTGACTGCTGCTGTGGAAAGGCCACACTGCCTCCATCACAGCAGGAGGAACAAGCACAACTGGACCATACATCATTGTGTAATGAGATAATGTGACATAGAAATTATACCACAGCAGGTGGACCGGCTCCAGAACTCTGGATTTCTAGTCTGAATTTAGTTTTGCATTTGATTTGACTTTGCACATAGGCAACTGTCTACTGAAAGGTAAAGGGTTAATTCACACAAACTACTAAGAGATATTTTTCCTCCTGATCCTTGTGGTATGCAGCCATTAAGGTTTTATCTACTGAGGTTTTAAGAAATCATTCTCTGAGATTTCTGCTTCTGTCCCAATACAGATAGAGGTGGCTGAATTTTTGTAGCAGTGGAAGAAATACTCAGATACTTTATTTAGAAATACTCTGTTAAGAGTAAAAGGCTTGTATTCAAGATCCTACTCAAGTGAAAGGACATAAGCATCAAAATATACCTAAAGGAATACTTCACCCACAAATGACCATTTATATATCATTTACTCACTGTGTGTTGCCTTGAATTTGTGAGGAAAACTTCATTATTCTCACATGCCTCCACTGTGAACAGAGACTCACTGACGTCACAGGAGTCCACACTGAACAGCAGCAAAACTATACCTAACACATACATTTACAATCTCTCACACAACTCCATATTTATCCAGACGAAGCTCAGTACTTCCCAAACACATCAATTTTCACTTAAAGATTATGAAATAAAAACATTTCCACCTACAAGAAGCTTGCCCTGAGTGTGCCTGAGAGGAACGCTCCTTTTACGTGCTTGAATCTGTTTGTATCACCGTGTGTTATATCGTTAAGGTTTTAGCGAAACAATAACGTGGTGAAGAACTGATTTACAAATGTTCACTTTGGGGTTGGATTCAAGTGCTCATACCAAATGTGCTCATGGTGCCAAGTATCTAGGGCTGCTTGATTAATCGAGTTTTAATCTAGATTACGATTTGGGCTTTCAACGATTAAGAAAACAAAATAATTGACATAAGACGATTATGCGCTTCTTGTCAGTTTACTCTCGCTGTCTTGTGTTGCAAATCAAACGCACCCAGAAGCTGCGCATGCGCAATACTGCCCGCTCCCCTCCTCTCCTCTATTCACTCCACGAGCCAGTCAAGTAGGTGAACTACGAATAATGCAAGGGGCAGGTGATCGTAGGGCTGCTCGATTATGGATAAAATCATAATCACAATTATTTTGGTCAAAATCGAAATCATGATTATGCAAACGATTATGTGGCGCACGTGATGGAGTATATTGTTTACATGACGGTATGTCATTTCTGTCTCTACATGGTAGCGCGTTTACAATTCTCCTCTACTCTCTGTTTCGCGCACAGCGGAGTTCTGCCACGATGCGCGCACGCACACACACACATACAAACACATGCACACACACATACAGACACATGCACACACACAAACCAACCTCTCTTGCTCTCTCTCCGCCATTTTCCACACGCTGTTTTTGAAATCTTCCACGAGCAACGGACTTTCTTTCATAGTCAACACACTGAACGCAAGCGATGCGGGTGACACTTGAAATGCAATACATTGCTCGTGCAACAGGGGGTAGCAGAGTCACCGGTACATTCTGGCTAGCTAGTACTGCTGTAGCTAGCTAGTACTGTTATGTTATTAGAGTGCAGGGCACTAGAACTGTCATATAAATGGGGGTGTGCCCGTACAAGCTCACAAAGTTTTCCTCCTCGCCTGCCATATTACACACCTGCTTCTTCTGTGAATAACAAAAAGAGGTTAATTTCATGTAGGTCGCTTGCATTATCACCCCTGCTGGCAACACATGGTATTACACTTGTCGCTGCGTCGCATTTTAAAAAAAATGGACAACACATTTTGAGACGCAAGCACGCATCATGGCGGCCAATGCGTCTCGATGCGTCCCAATGTGTGTGTGCCTTTGCATCGACTATGAAACGGCCCTAAGTGTACATAGTTATTTTCCACCCCTGGAATTTTGTTTGTAAACTCATAGCATTAAAATGTTGTACAATGACATGGTTAAGTTGTGTAAGACCTTACTGTCGACAGTGTTTACTACATGAATTGTCATGCAGTTATTGAATCGTGCTTCATTTCAGAACTCTGTCTGGTTTTAATTGTTGCAACTGAGGTTTACAAGTTTGCTTCTTTATATGTTCCATGTTTTGGAGCCAGAGTTCAATATTGTTGCAGAAGCGCAGTGGTGTTTAGTAGGGATGCACGATAATATCGATATGGACTTAAACATCGGCCAACGTGCCTTTTTTTTGTTTTTTTTCACAATGAATGAATATTACAAACATTGAGATGTATTGTATTTCATGTCTCCATCTGCTGGTGGTCCATCATGATAAGAGCATGCATGTATAATATGATGTTAATTCCACTACAGAAGAGACTTGATGATCATTAAAATTAGGTTGGGAAAAAAGTGGATATATCGATATCACAATTGGTTATTGGTCAAATTAGTTGTTGCATATCAGATACCTGCAAAAAATCCAGTATTGTGCATCCCTAGTGTCAGATGAGTCAGTGTTGACAGAATCGAACTACAGCAGAAAAGTCAAAGCAATGCACTAATCCTGTTACCGAAAAACATCTGAGGAA